CCCCAAAACCCCAAAACCCCAAAACCCCAAAACCCCGCTATTGATAGCAATGGCTGAAAAATTATTATATTTACACTCTTAATTATCATAATTAGTTGGTAGAATACTTATTACTCATGCCAAAGGCGATATAATGAACTCTGATAGCAGAAGCTAATCCAATCATTCCTAAAGGAATTAGGACTATCATCAAAATCTTGTAGTAGTTATAAGACACTGCTTTGATGTTGAAGTCATATATTTTACTGTTCTTTATCAAGGCTTCAAAATTGTTGCTTAGTATCTTTTCATTAAGTTCAAGCTTGTTCACCATTCACTCTGCCAAATCAAGGGTATTAAAAATAGACAAAGAAGTGAGTTTCATTCTTTGATTAGGCAAAGCAGTAAGTTTCGTATTCATGAAACTTGTTCCTCTTGGAAGCAAGAACCAATGGAAGTCTTCAACTTCATTCTTCCTTGCAAATTTTTTAAGTTCGTCAACCGATAAGTTACTAACTGAAACTATCGAATCGAAGTCATAATTTTCCTTCAGTTTTTGAAATTTGCTGATATACAAAGGGTTTGCATTTGATCCTTTCAAAGCTGATGAAGGAGTTTTGGAGACCAATCCTTCTTTAAAAAATTTACTCTTATCTAACCTCTGTTTGAGCAATTTATTCTTCTGAGAGTAAGACAGGCATGGGAAATTTGAAAGGAAGCAGACACTCTTGTTCTTAGGAAAAATCTTATCGAGTGTCATTTCTTGAACCACATAGTCTTTATTAAATCTATCATATCTCAGAATGTTGAACTTCTTCATTCTTAGTTTGTCTGAAGTTGACAGGATAGGCCTTAATTCCACGGTAGCATACATTCTCTTTAAAGGAATAAAGTTTGAGCTATACATTAGATCAGACCGCTGAATGAAAAACATTTTCCTTTATGATTTTAGGTTAATAAAGAATTTCGAATGGCAAGGACTTCAAGAATTAAGACACACTTTTTAATATTTAAAATTTTCCCAAAAACACACATTAGTTATTAATAAAAGAGTTTCAAACTAAGAAGTCTTGAAGCTGAGATAGGCTTACTTATGACTTAATGTTGAGTTCCTCAAATTGCTGCCAAACTTGGTGATGGGATGGAACGCTCTCTTTGCCAAATAGTATTCCATTGATGATTTAATAATTATTTTCAGCCGTAGACTAAATAGGGGTTTTGGGGTTTTGGGGTTTTGGGGTTTTGGGG